CTGACGCTATGCTGGTGCTGAGAGGCTCATCTTCTGGTCCTGTATCTGACGCTATGCTGGTGCTGAGAGGCTCATCTTCTGGTCCTGTATCTGACACTATGCTGGTGGTCTTCATCATGTTTCAGTAGTCAGTATTCTGGTGCTGACACTATTGCCCTGCTATTCACAAGGTTTTCAGTGACTAAATATTCGGAAATAGTCCTCTTCTTCTTCCTAGTCTGTTTTCATTTGGAAATTCATCTGAAACCTGTCCACCATGGTTGACCCTGCTGGTATTTATAATACCGGTGCCATAGCTTCCAGAATCACAGCAACACGCAAGCCACCACAGTACGACAAACTCACAGACCAGCAGTTGAGGACTCTAGTGCTAGAAAAGCCCAAACCAAACCCACTGCCAACAGATATCGATCCTATATAGGGTTTTCAAGACTATAAATTAGTACAAGAGTACACAGCCTCATCTTTCTCACAAGGAGCAGCTGATGGGTTTGAACAGCCATCCTTGTAATTAGCAGCGCAGTGCTTATCCTGCAGTGCCGTGAGCGTTCCATATGTGCTAGGGTGCCCTATAGGTAAGGTCCCTGAGGGGCGTAAATGGTTTACACTCAGCTACTGGTGCTGCACCGTAGGATAGGTATTGGACCACAAGGTCGCTTTGAACCACAAGGCCGGCAGTTCAAACTCATTGGTTGCTTCTCAGAGACCCTATACAGGATCCACATGAATCAGAACAAGCGCGATGGCACTTAAGGAGCTCTGGTAGCGTAGTGGTTACAAATCAGGCTGTGACCTTAAGGTCAGCGGTTTGAAACTACCAGCTGCTCCGCAGGAAAAAGATGAGGCTTTCTACTCCCGTAAAGATTTACACCCTCGGAAACCCTGTACAGGGTCGCTATGGGTCGGAACTGACTCGACGGCACTTAACAACAACAACAACAACTTAAAGGGTGGCAGTTCAAATCCACATAACAGCGCTGTGAAACAAAGACTGGAGATAAACATCTGTAAAAATGGTAGCCAAGAAACCCCTGTAGAGCGGTTCTACTGTATTAACACGGGACCATTACCACACAGAATCGACTTGAGGGCAACAGGTTTCAGTTTTTACGTGGTAGGTACTCTGAACCGACTCCACGGCACATAGCCACCACCACAGGTGCTCAGTAAACACATGTGTACGTTGACCATGTATACTTAGCTAAGCTTTAGTAATGGATTCCATTTTCAGACTCTATGGAGTAGGTAAAGTTAGAATTCCCATTATGTGAGGCAGGAAAAAGATCTACAGCACCAGTGCCTTCTTGTTCAGAGGCCCCAGAGCCGGGTTTTAAGCCCGGACAGACAACATGGCACTGGCAGCTGTCCCCAAGAGAGGGTGGGGCTCCATCTTCCCTGCAACGCACTGACGCTAGGCAGTCCAGGAATTCTGGCCGGAGCTAAAGGGTAGGGAACGTGCTTTGTACTGCCTCTTGGTGGCTTCATAGTCCTCCCTCTCACTCTTCCCTGCCAAGAGGCCGCTTGCTGCCTGCGGCCCTCCGTCAGTAACTTTCCATGTAGAACAGGAAACCAGAGGGAGCAACGTGGGTGGGGGGCCTCTGCAGGAATTGCAGGGTCCTCCAACAACCAAGTGACTGATCTCGTGACTCTAGGACTGAAAACACCTTCAGCATCCAAGAGCTTCCTGAGAAGAGTGCCCTCTTGTGGACAGAAAGGAGTGTCAGCAGGACCAGCAGAGAGGGCTGGTTCCAGGCCCCATCCCCACCGGATCGCTCAGCAGGGGCAGAGGCAGGTTGTGTTCTTGGAGAATCACACAGGCCCTGATTTGAATTTCACTGCTCCCATGTGCACCCCACTCTTTTGCCCATCCTATCCCCCAGCTGGGTGGTTCCAAGTGAGTGAGTTAGTTATTTAAGAAAATTTGTATAAAGAGCAAACTGCAGAGATGTCAAACTTTCTTGGTTCAAGACACACTTCCAGTCATCACTGAGTCAACTCCATCCTGAGATTTTCAATGACTGATTTTCAGAACGAGATCAACAGGTCTTTCTTCTGAGGTTCCTGGGTAAATCTGACCCTTCAGCCTTTCAGTCAGCAGCTGAGCATGTTAACTGCACCACCCAGGGGTTATCTAAGTCCTTGTTTCACCAGGCCCCCATCCCACCAAAATGTACAGTTATGCTTATTAAGTAGTTTGATCATGACAACTTGATAAGCAGTTGTTGTTATTAAGTACATTGGGTTGGTTCCAATTCACAGCAACCCTGCTTAGGGTATCCAAGGAGCGGCTGGTCAGTTTGAACCACTGCCCTTGCAGTTCAAACCAACCTTGCAATCCAGAGCTTGTCCTACAGCACCACACCGGGACTTCAAGTATTTATGTCCTAACAATTTAGTGGCTTCTTGAAAACCTAATGCTCAAAAATTTGAATGAACAATATTTTTAGCCTGTCCTTAACCAGAAGCAACTACTACTAATAGGACACGTGCGGTTGCTGCACACACAACTTCTCCAGCCTTGGAATCTGAGTAGACACATAGCTCATTCATTGTAAACGAGTTCATTCTGATTCACAGTGACCCTACAGAGCACAAGTAGAAATGCTCCACGGGGTTTCCAAGGCTGTAATTTATATGGAAGCAGGCTGTCATATCTTTCTCCCTCAGAGCGGCTGGTGGTTCCAGCCACTGAGCTTCCAGTGAGCAGCCAAGCTCTCAAGCACTTAACACTACTATCTACATTTCCTTCCCTATTCCACAATTATTTGCACATCATCAAAGGAATGTGTTGTTGTTAAGGGCCTTTGAGTTGGTTCCAACTCATAGGGACCCTGTTTAGGGTGTTTATCCTACAGCACCACACCAGGACTCCCAAAGGGACATTTGTTCCAACTCATAGTATCCCTTTGTACTACAGAATGAAACACTGTCTTGCGTCGTTCTCACAACTGTTGCTAAGTTTGAGCCCTCTGTTTTTGCCATGTCATTGGTTGGGGGTCTTCCTCTTTTTCGCTGACTCCTCATGTTATCAAGCATGACGTCCTCCAGGGACTGAT